GTTTGATACGGGGTTTTGTGCGTTGCAAACTAGACTCGTAGGCCTTCGATTTAATGGGTAATAGGCCTTCTAACTCTTTATATATTGGGAGAAAACATCCAATACATTTGACCCAAATTTCAAAGAAATCTTTAAAATGGAACTTATGATAACTTTCGCCAACTTTTATTTTGCCACTTACTTAACTTCAAAACTTGAGATAAAACCTATGAACACTTAAAATATGACATACCACATCCTTTTTTATTTATTACTCACCCTCTTTGTCTTTCCACAAAGGTACGAGTTAATTTAGACGTTTTGGAAAAGTCGGGGTGTTACATAAATTTTTTAAAATTTGTTAAATTTCCTGATTGTTATGCTTCAAATATCTCAGGGGTGTGTAAGTGTTGATGATGGTAAGATAACTAGACTCAAAAGCCATGACTATCATGTTTTGTTACAACGAGTGTTGCCTATTGCTCTTCGTGGATTTCTAAATAAAGATGTCTCTTTAGCATTAATTGAGTTAGGTCATTTCTTCCAACGATTATGTTGTAAGACATTGAGAAAAGATGACTTAGAACAACTTGAAAGGGATATAATTATTATATTATGTAAGCTTGAGATGATCTTTCCGCCAGCTTTTTTTGATGTTATGGTACATTTGGATGTGCATTTACCCCGAGAGGCTATGTATGGGGGACCAGTACAATATCGTTGGATGTACAAAATTGAGAGGTTCTTGTGCAAGCTTAAGCGTTACGTACGAAACAAGGCACGTCCAGAAGGTTCTATTGCAGAAGGCTATATTATTGATGAATGTTTGACATTTTGTTCTATGTATCTTATTGATATTGAGACTAGATTTAATTGTGAACATCGAAATGATGATGGATCTAGCAGCAAAGATGAACATGTTCTAGACATATTCTCAAAGAATTTTAGATCATTTAGAGATGGAATATATGATGTCATACCAAAGAAAGATTTTGATATGGCTCGATGGTATGTGTTTAATAATTGCGAAGAAGCAGAACCTTTTCTTCAGTAAGTACTTTTTCTATTTATCTGGGTTGATATTTTTATACTTTAAATTATTTTTAATTAATTTATTTATTACATGTAGAGAGCGTAGAGAAGAGTTATTGAAACAAGCTATTGTGAATATCGATGATAAACACCGAGAACAATTTCCTTTATGGTTCAAAAGAAAAGTAAGTGATTTTAAGATAAATATTCATGTTATTCTGTTTAAATTATTACTTATTTCTTTATTAATTGACCACAATTTTTATTGTAGATTATGCTATTATATAATAAGGAAAAGTCAATGCCTATCCAGAAATTATACCCTTTGGCAATGGGACCTGATGTGCGTGGAAGAACACATACTGGTTGTATTGTAAATGGTGTCAAGTATCATGTTCAACGATGCGATGAATTACGTAAAAGTCAAAATTGTGGTATAGTAGTTGCAGGCTACCATGAAAATGGTGATTGACTTTTATGGTATTATAGTTGACATCCTTGAGTTAGAGTATGTTGAGGAAAATCGAATTCTCCTATTTGAATGCAAGTGGTTTGATCTTCGCAAGAAAACAGGGATGCGAAAAGATAATAATTTTACGAGTATTTGTGTTAAAAGGTTTTGGTATGAACAAGACTCTTTTGTACTAGCTACCCAAGAAAAACAAGTTTTCTATATAGATGACCCAAAATTGGGGGGAAATTGGCGAATTGTGCTCAAATTTCAAGATAGACACTTATATGATGTGCCAGAGAAGGAAAATTCAGAGGCAGAAAGTGATGAGTTGCATATTGCAAATGATGAAGTGTATCAAGATATTTCACTTGAAAATAATTCAATTGTCAATGATTTGGTGGAAATACGGTGTCAACTACATAGAGATGATATTGATTCAGTTACCTTGGATGCAAATGTAATTGAATTGTAGGCTCAAACACAACATGCGGTTAAAATTGATTACAGTGACGATGACTGTAACCAAGAGGATGATACTATAATAGAGTACATCAGTGATCATGAGGAGAATGAAGGTAATAATAGTACCAATGATGAAGTTGATAGCACATTTGATGGTGACGACATTGGCTTGTGATGTAACCTCATAAGAGTAAGGCCAATTACTTATTAATAGACCTTCAAAATTATGTATTTCTTCTTTGACTACTATCAAAGTAACGGCCTTATCACTACAAAAAAATTATTTTATTGAAAACTATTTATCGTACTTAAAGGTCATAGGCGATTAAAGTCGAGTAGCTTACCAATAACTTAAATTTCATTATTTTATCTTTTTCTATGTTTTTTTTGCCATTCCCTACTATTCTTTTATGTATTCAAAAGAAAAATCATTTTTCCCCGAAATTAGTTTGTTTACTTTAGAGATAGCCCTCCTTTATACCTTTCTAACAACTTCAGGTTGTTCTCTTTCTGTGTAGGGGTCCATATATTTGGACTGGTTGCAAACAAAATAGATGAAATTGCAGGTTTGCCTCACTTTTTGTTGCTACTTATCTCTAATTTAGTGAATTAGTTAACTATTCTAATGTTATTACCTGGTTTAAATTCATTTTACTGTGTTTAGATTTTAACTTGGGGCTTTCTAACAGATGAACATGACATTTTTCTACATGCATTGCCTCGTGGTTGTAAGCTTTTTTTGATGAATCCAAAAACTTGATGTCGCTAAAGTCACTCTTTAATGCTTTTAAGGCCACCAAAATAAGCAAAATAGAGCTTAAGCATTATAGTATTTTCAGTCTTACCAGCACTACATGTCCACCACCCAAGATAGAATTAATGTTATCCTTATCAAACATTGTCTGGTTAGCAAAATCAACAATAGAAACTAAAGCTAACATAACCAATTCAACATGTATTTTTTTAGGTAACTAATTTTTTCATTAATCACCCGAAACAGAATTACAAATCAAGCTAGCTACCACAACCAGCTTAGTCTAATTTATAGCACCATCCTAACCAACTGCTATCTACCAGACTCCTCATCAATTTCTACAGAAAACTAAGACTTTACAAGCCATGATTGTACTACATCCTTTGCCCGCAATGGTGCTATAATATTACAAAGCAATTCTCTTCACAATTTTTTTAAAGTGGTTACCACTGGATCAGAGTCAACTTCCTAGTTGTACCGACGTCGCATTTTCATCTTGAGTCCATTAAGATTCCTCCAATACCAACTACAATCAGGAGGTGGTGTATGTTCCCAAATGCTCCCCCCGCTTTATATACAATTCATGCACCCATTCACCCATAATATGTGTTTTTCCCAGATAATTGTCGTAATAATTTTCCAGCAGATGCCTCATTCCATTTCCTACTTCCTTTAATGTTAAGCCCTCCATATTTCTTGAGAGTAAATAATCCTTCCCAGGCCACTATGGACTAATCCCAAGTAATTTCATTTTGTTGTGTGGTCGAATGACACGTAAGCAAGCATCATAATTGAAGGTGTGAGTAAGCCCTAGAAGATTGAGAAAAATTCCTCTGGAACCAACTCTTCTAAGATATTTATAGTAGCAACCATCTTCTGTTGAGCCACATCCTTTGATCCTTCTACTTGCGATTTTGCTTCATTCCCTTCTTTGTAGCTTCTATCCTTAAAGGAAGTCATCTAGATTGCTTGAGGTGATGATTTTGGCATTTCAACACAAATACTGCGTAGTGATCTCATCACAACTTGTGCTACTATAACCTGCATGATCGGTACATGATTTTAAAAATGAAATATAATACTGAATGCTTTGAATTTTTATATGGGACAAGTCTATTACTTTGTATGGTGTCGAGTCGTTCACTTGAGATGTTTGCTTGTTATTCGAAATGTTTTATTGTAATAAGATATGTTTTTACCATTGTTTTAAATTTTCTACCATTACTAAACTTATTTTACTGTTACTTAAGATATGTTTATCATTAACAAAATGAAATTTCATGATTTGATAAAAACTTAAATATCATATACTATTTTGATAATGATTTGATACTCATATTTATTGTTTACAAAAAATATAAATGAGACTAGAATTTGAAGGTTCTTGTAGCTAACTACTGGTTAGTTAAATCGAATACCTTGTAATAATGATTACTGTTACAATCCTTGTAAGTGGGAAGGTGGAAAAAACATACTGTTAATATTTTTCCTTGACTAGGGGACCTACAAGTATATTTGACTCCCTTATGAAGGAGTCCACAGTGATATGAAAATGTTTATTACTGATTAGTGTTATCATTTATAAAAAGGGCATTTATTTCATGACATCTTCTAATTATCATATTAACATGTTTTTACTTTGTTTATTAGAAATGTTGTAGTTAAATGTTATTACTCATTGAGCTAGTGATTTGCTCTCCACTTTTTTTTGTTACACAGATCACTGGTGACGTCAACAAGACTTTAGCTATAGTGTACGAGTTGACAAATCTATAGTTCACGGGGATTTCTTTGTGTGGACAAGAAGTTATTTATTTACTACCGCCCTTTTCTTTTGAACTCTTAGAGTCGCTTTGTTAATCATTTCACTAGTGTCATGCGTAATTTTTCATTATTGGAAACTTGAAATATATAGTATTAGACTTATTTTTGTATTTGGAGATGGATTTAGTATTATTATATTGTTGATGCATGTTATGGCTTTTTTAGCGATATTGGTTAGATATGTTATTGATTTTTGAGACAGGAATTTTTTTTTTCTATAGGCACAAAAACAGGGGAAACTTTGTCCAATTTTATGTAAATTTTCATTAAGGCTTGCCTTTAGCATCCCACTATTTAACATCGGTCATGATCCTAAATTGAATTGTAACACAAGTGATGCAACTAATGAATGCATATCATCCATGGACACAAGAAGATCATTTGTGCGTTACTTAAGGAAATCATTAAAATATTTTATAATTGAATTAGATATTATGACAATGTGATTGTGCGGTTTAATAAATATTAGAATGGTTGGAGTGAATATTGTGTTTGAATTTAGTTTGTAAGACTAAAGATAATGCTTTGGGATGATACACTTGTTAAAATATGGAGAAATTTTATTGTTAATAGGTATTTTTTATTTTTTTATGACGTATATATGTTAAATATAATAGTTGCTAAATGGCACAAATTGATTGTGGCTATACTTATTGTGGAAGTTCTACAAACTATCGTAACAATAAGTTGTGGGTATTACTATTCACTGACCTTTTTAGTGCATTATAAAAATTAATGGTTTTTCGTTTTTATTTTATTGTAATACAACTTAAAAATATGCATATGACTTTTATTAGCTGCAATTGTTCCAACGGATCTTGATATACACCTTTTCATTGAGTCCTTTTGCTGGACGTGTAAATGACAAAATATTTGAAAACTTGTTGAGACACTTGATAGTTTTGAAAGATTTATTTGTATTTTCTTAAAATTCATATTATCTTAATGGTGTTTTAACATTTGATTTATTTTGTTATGAGATATAGTCTATATCGCTTGTTGCACTGCAATATGGTCTAGTATTTTAGAAAAAATATTATGCTTGTGTGGTGCTTAGTATATAATCTTTCTCTAAAATATTTTTGTGTTGGTTAAAAGGTTGTTTAAAATTAATGATGTTATAATTTATAACTGTGAATCCTTTTTCATAGTCCATAATTGCACTATTCCACTTAGGTTGTAGCCATTTGAACATATATTTTTTTGTGACAAATTTTTTTTTGTAGTAAATTGAAGGTTAAATAAACACAATAATACAATTGTCACTAATTGTTTGAACTATTAGTGACAAAAATTACGGTCACAATTGAATATAAAATTTTGTGGCTAAAGTTTACTATGATTAACTACAAATTCTAGTTCATCACCTATTGTCAATATACTTTTCTGAAAAAGTTTTTCATATCTAAAATCTAACTAATTTTAGGACAAAAATGATTTGTCACTAATGAATCAATATATATTTTCGTGACGAAAAAATTTTGTATCCAAAATTTATCTAGTTTTAGGACAAAAAATGATTTGTCACTAATATATCAATGTATTTTTTTGCGACAAAAATTTTTTGTATACAAAATTTACTAATTTTAGGACAAAAATGGTTTGTCACTGATGTGTCAATATATTTTTTTGTGACAAAAAATTTTCGTATTCAAAATTTCCCTAAATTAGGGACAAAAATGATTTGTCACTAATTGAGAATATCATTAATGACAAAATAATGTGTCACCGGTGACTTCAAATCCGTGGCTAATATTACTCAACAAATGGAGCCAATTTACTTTTTGGTGGGAAACTCAATTGGACAAAACTTTGCGACGATTTTTTGTGTTTCGTCACTAATAATATAAGCCTCATGTATTTAACCACAAAATTTAATTTTTGTCACTAAAAGTGAAGAATTAGTGACAAATTGCACGTCGTAGCTACAAATTTTGTAGCTATATATCACATTTGTTGTAGTGTCAGATGGTTAGGAAAAGGTCGATATGGGTGGGTGATATCCTTCTGGGCCTCTAGATGGATCCTCAATTAGGGTAGAGATTGAGGTTCAACCAGAGGTCGAGGGAGAGCACGGGCATCAACACCAGAGCCCGAGATAAAGGTTGTTCATGTTCAGTGTCAAGCGGATAGTGTGGGGCCAACCCATCCTCCACTAATATTCTATGTCATGCTAGTGCTTCAGGATACTTTGGTTAGGATCCTCAGCTTCATAGAGGGCAAGGTCTCAAGAAGGTACTATGCCTACCACTTTAGCTAGACCCCATATTAGAGATAAGGCTTAGACTTCAGCCCAGGCAGGGGCATAGGGTGTTCAGGCCCTAAAGACGCTTCATGTTATTGGAGCTCCTCGTACAATGTTTCAGCAGGTTCTAACCTTTGCTCCACTTATGACTCATCGGACAACTATGAATTTTAAGGAATAGAAGATGTTGGGGCACTTTATTAGATTGGGTCCTCCAAGGTTCACTAGTGCTATAGGTGAGGATGCCCACGAGTTTCTAGTCAATTTCCAGGAGAGGTTGCACAACCTCGGGTTAGTGGAGTCTCACGGGGTTGATTACACTGCTTACCAGCTTGAGGGTCCAGTGAAGCAGTGGTGGAGATTTCTTTTAGAGTAGAGACTAGTCCGGTCACCTTTGATGACTTGGACTTAGTTCTCCAAGGCTTTCATGGAGAAGTATGTACCTTGTAGCCTGAGGGAGCGCTTGTAGGATGAGTTCACAAACATTACTTAGGGATCAGTGTCAGTTACAGAATATGAGGCACAATTCTATATATTGGTGAGACATGAGGCTATGCTCATGTCGATAGAGTATGAGAAAGTTGGTAGACGACCACCATGATATCTATACCAAAACTAAAAGCAGGTATATATCAATACAATACCTCAAACAGCTCACAAGCTTCAGCAAACCAACCACATAGGCCAATATGGCCATAACGTAGCTATACGCCCACACACTAGTCTGCAAGCCTCTAAGAGTA